GGACTCTGGAATGGAAACCCACCAATGGCACCAGTTAATGCAGGATACAGTGAGGCTGTCTATGAGCTCAAGAAAAACATCATCCAACTGCTGGGAAAGTGTGGGTCGACTTCTAATAACATATTGGAGTTCAGAGAGTGGATTAGCAGCCTGTGGAACGCAGTAAAACATGAAAAATTCATCTTCAGCTTCAGAAACAGTCTGGTAGCTGATGCGTACATGAGACTCTGCACAGAGTACAACAAATGGGAGTGGGAGTTTAAAAAAGAAATGTACACCTGGGTTACCAATGCAGAAACTAGAATTTCTAATTTTGGTACAGTTGCTGCAACATCTGATATATCTGACATGGAGAACTTTATCACTGAGTTAGAAAGTGAAGCAGTCACAGAGCTGATCAAGTTGGAGTCAGTGATTCTAGAGAACCTGAAGAAATACTTTGAGCAGCCAGAAGGTCATGTTCACCTGGTTGAAGGATACAGAGAGGACTTCTCAAACAGCATAAAGAGTCTTAGAGGACAAACTAAAAGATCAGTGTTTAATCAGCTCAGAGTAGCAGCGGACATCAAACAGGGAAAGCAAGAACTGCATAAAATTAAGATCACTTATACAGAAGAAATCGAAAAAGCAGTTTGTGCTTTAATTGATGAGTGCCGAAAGAAAAAGGTTAAAATGACAGACAGAGAGCTTGAAGACAGTTTTGATATGATGTGGACTAAAACATTGGACAGCTTGACTTTTGCTGCACAGCAGACTTTAAATGTCTATGATAGGGTTTACCATCAATTGCTAGCAAATATTTCACCCAAAGGAAGCCATGCATGTGAACTGCTAAGTAAAAAAAGACTTCAAGAATGTGGATTGAAGGATTTTGAATACACATATTTAGACAATATGAAGGTGATTTGGAAAGGAATAATGCACTTGACGAATATAGTAAAGGAGAGACAAAAAATTGCAAAGAGTATCATATCTGTTTGCAGTGAATTTGTGATGAGAAAAAAGGAAAAGAAAACAAATTATCATGATACTTACATCCAGGAGATCCTTCACATCATTGATGAGAAGCTGAGCAGTGATGATGTTAACAGTGACATTGACTTTGAGGTTTCTCTGAAGCAGCACATCTGTGGATCTGCTGCCAGAGAGTTTCAAAAGATGCATGAAGATTTTATTCAAGAAAATGATCCTTACAAATGTCTGCAAGAAAACAAGGAAAAGTTCTGCACAGATTTCAAAGATGTGTTCAATGAGAGAGATCAGTGCCAGAAGAAAGCTGAAGAATTCACCAACCAGTGTCTGAAACCTGCTGTGGAGGATTTTGTCTATCGTTCTCTTGGTTCTGATATTGTTGATAAAATGCTGACAAAAGAAGAGTTCAGCACACGGATGTCCTTCCAGTATTTAATATTACTGGATTTGATTGAAAAAAAAAACTTCGAAACCTTTCAGTGCTACATTTGTTCATATGAAGATTATTTAAAAGTATGCATATGTGATAGAATTAAGGAGAGTTTCTCCTCTGAGTTCTCAGTATGTGAGTTAGAGGACAAACATCTTCAGTCCTGCATCAGCCACATAAATGCTGCCATAGAAAAAGCAAAAGCAGAAAAGACTGATAGTCTGAAGACATTTGTTGAAAATATCTGCAAAGAACTTGGTCATAAACTGGCTATTCCCCAGGATGCTCTCAATAACTTTATGGTTCTGAACAAGGCTGACCAGGAACAGTTTGCTCACTGGCTCAATGAGTGTGTGAAGGAAATGAAAGAAGATCTTAGGGAGAAGTTTAAAAACACAGACTTTGAAACAAAACTCAGACACCTTCAATTAAACCCACAGGATGAGCTTTTCACCAGAGTGGTTGGTTGTGGTAAACAGTGTCCATTCTGTAAAATACCCTGTGATGCAGGAGGAGCAGCTCACACTGAACACTTTGCTTCCCTCCATCGATCACAGGGTTTGGGTCTGTGTAGGTGGGATGATTCAAAGAAACTTACAACTGATATCTGCTCTTCTCTTGTTATCAGTGACCTGTGTTTTTGTTGTAGCGCTACAAAAAATGAATGGTATCCTTACAAAGAATATAGGGATATTTATTCAGACTGGAAAATTACTCCAGATTCAAGTTATGAGGCATCAGATTTTTGGAAATATGTGATGAACAAGTACAACGAGGAATTTGCTGAAGCATATGAAGCAGAGCCTGCTGACATTCCTGATGCTTGGAAGAAAATAACAGTAGAGCAGGCAAAGGAAAGTCTCAAGAAATCATTCAGCATCAAGTGAAATCATAATTAATGTAGTTAAGAGACTAACTGGTTCTTATATGTAGTGTATGTTTCTTTTTTTTTGGTGGTGGGACCTCATGGTGTCCTTTTTCAAGTGTTTAAGGAAAGTTTATGTTTTTCTTAAAACTCTACTTCAACTTCAAGGGCACAGTTCTGTGAAATAAGCTTGGAGTTAACAGCTCATTAGCCTAATATAAAATCTTAACTTAAGGTATTAAATGATTCTTGAAATAAAGTGCGTGACATATTACAAATACAATGTAAACAATGCATTTAGTCTTAGTGTTGCCACAGCAATATCCCACTCTAAACTTACATGTACTGATTTATAAGTGTGTTCTAACTGGAATGTATGTACGTATATTTTCTATAAATCTATCTCTGTGATGTTGAACTGATTATTTCCATAACCCTGATCTGCTCTGCATTATTGAAGNTCAGTTTGTTCACCAGAACGTTTCTGATGTTTCAGCCCATGAGAAGAACCTACGAGACAGAAAGCTGCTCCTAGAACAGCTGAATGAGATGACCCAGGCAGCAGCTAAAATGGAAAAGAAAGAGAAGAACAAGAAATTCACTGATGTCATGGAGTACAATCCAGACACTGGGAACTGCTACATTCCAGGACTCTGGAATGGAAACCCACCAATGGCACCAGTTAATGCAGGATACAGTGAGGCTGTCTATGAGCTCAAGAAAAACATCATCCAACTGCTGGGAAAGTGTGGGTCAACTTCTAATAATATCTTGGAGTTCAGAGAGTGGATAACCAGCCTGTGGAACGCAGTAAAACATGAAAACTTCATCTTCAGCTTTAGAAACAGTCTGGTAGCTGATGCATACATGAGGCTCTGCACAGAGTACAACAAATGGGAGTGGGAGTTTAAAAAAGAAATGTACACCTGGGTTACCAATGCAGAAACTAAAATTTCTAATTTGGGTACAGCTGCTGCAACATCTGACATATCTGACATTGGGAATTTTATCACTGTGTTAGAAAGGGAAGCAGTCACAGAGCTGACCAAGTTGGAGTCAAAGATTCTTGAGAACCTGAAGAAATACTTTGAGCAGCCAGAAGGTCATGTTTACCTGGTTGAAGGATACAGAGAGGATTTCTCTAACAGCATAAAGAGTCTTAGAGAACAAACTGAAAGATCAGTGTTTAACCAGCTCAGAGTAGCAGCAGACATCAAACAGGGAAAGCAAGAACTGGATAAAATTAAGACCACCTACACAGAACAAATTGAAAAAGCAGTTTGTGCTTTAATTAATGAGTGCCGAAAGAAAAACGTAAAAATGACAGACAAAGAGCTAGAGGAAAGTTTTGATAGGATGTGGACTAAAATATTGAACACCTTGACTTTTGCTGCACCGCAGACTTTAAATGTTTATGATAGGGTTTACCGTCAGCTGCGCGCAAATATTTCACCCAAAGGAAGCCATGCAAATGAACTGCTAAATAAAACAACACTTCAAGACTGTGGATTGGAGCCTTTTAAATACAGACCTAAAGGAGTGGGGGAAAACGTGAAAGTTGCTTTGAAAGGATGGTGGTCTGAGAAGGATCTAGTAAAGGAGAGACAAAAAAATGCAAACAGCATCATAGCTGATTGCAGTGAGTTTGTGTTAAGCAAAATGGAAAAGAAAACAAATTATCATGATACTTACATCCTGGAGATCCTTCACATCATTGATGAGAAGCTGAACAATGATGATGTTAACAGTGACATTGACTTTGAGGTTTCTCTGAAGCAGCACATCTGTGGATTTGCTGCTAGAGAGTTTCAAAAGATGCATGAAAAATTTATACAAGAAAATGATCCTAAGAGTAGTCTGCAGGAAAACAAGGAAAAGTTCTGCACAGATTTCAAAGATGTGTTCCATGAGAGAGATCAGTGCCGGAAGAAAGCTGAAGAATTCACCAACCGAATTCTGAAACCTGCTGTGGAGAAATTTGTCTATCGTTCTCTTGGTTCTGATATTGTTGATAAAATGCTGACAAAAGAAGAGTTCAGCACACGGATGTCCTTCCAGTGTTCAATTTTACTGGATTTGATTGAAAAAAGAAACTTCCCAAACTTTCAGAGATACATTTGCTCATATGAAGATTATGTAAAATTATTCATACGTGATAGAATTAAGGAGAGTTTCTCTGAGTTCTCAGTATCTAAGTTAGAGGACAGACGTCTTCAGTCCTGCATCGACCACATAACTGCTGCCATTGAAAAGGCAAAAGCAGAAAAGACAGACAGTCTGAAGACATTTGTTGAAAATATCTGCAAAGAACTTGGTCATGAACTGACTATTCCCCAGGATGCTCTCATTGCCTTTATGGTTCTGAACAAAGCTGACCAGGAACAGTTTGCTCACTGGCTCAATGAGTGTGTGACGGAAATCAAAGAAGCTCTTAGGGAGAAGTTTAAAAACACAGACTTTGAAACAAAACTCAGTCATCTCCATTTAAAACCACAGGATGAGCTTTTCACCAGAGTGGTTGGTTGTGGCAAACAGTGTCCATTCTGTAAAATATCCTGTGATGCAGGAGGACCACGTCACACTGAACACTTTGCTTCCCTGCATCGACCAAAGGGTTTGGGTAGGAACAGGTTTGAACATTCAAGAAAACTTACAACTGACATCTGTTCTTCTGCTGTCATCAGTGACAACAGATTTCGCTGTAGCGATACAAACAATAAATGGCATCCTTACAAAGATTATAGGACGATATATCCAGACTGGAAAATTACTCCAGATTCAAGTTATGAGGCATCAGATTATTGGAAATATGTCATGAACAAGTACAACGAGGAATTTGCTGAAGCATATGAAGCAAAGCCTGCTGACATTCCTGATGGTTGGAAGACAATCAAAGAAGAGCAGGCAAAGGAAAGTCTCAAGAAATCATTCAGCATCAAATGAAATCGTAGTTAATGTTTAGTTAAAAGACTAAGTGGTTCTTATATGTAGTGTATTTTTATTTTTTTTTCTTCTTTAAAGCCCATCTAATTTACACTCAGGGTTAATCTATTTAAATAATCCGGGTCTTTATTGTCCTGGTGTCTTTCTTAAAACTCTCTACTTCAATTTCAAGGGCACAGTTCTGTGAAAGTTCTGTGAAGCTTGGAGTTAACAGCTCATTAGTCTAATACAAAATCTTAACTTAAGGTATTAAATGATTCTAGAAATAAAGAGCATGACATCTTACAAATACAATGAAAACGATGCATTTAGTGTTAGTGCCACAGCAATATCCCACTCTAAACCTACATGTACTGAAGTGTGTTCTAACTGGAATGTATGTCGTATATGACTCTATGTCTATCTATGTGATGTTGAACTTATTATTTCTATAACCCTGATCAGCTCTGCATTATTGAAGCCTTGAGATCATATATGTTGAGGATCATTATTAAACTGAATTGAATTGAGTATCAGGTCTAGATCTTTAAATCTAAATTACATTTTTTTTCACTGTATGGTCGTAGTGATGTTATGATAAAGATGTTCTTGGACAGGTTTCCTTTTAAATTGGTAAATTTAATGTCAAACATTCTTTATGACATGAGTGATTGCTAAATATGGTATTGTATGACAATATAATTTTCTTTGCTTTGTATCATGATTCTGTCAGAAATAAACATTTAAAATTTACATACTGTGTATTATTTTTTGAGTGTTTTTTAATGTTTTTTTCTTTCTTCTCAGCTAACAGTGATTTGCTTACATTGAATCTTTTCATTGTGATCAACTGG